TCATACTCTCAACGTGAATCTATAATACGTACATCCTTCTGCTAAGTATAGAGGTATATTCTGACTGTAGTGCCATTAGAAACGTGCCGAAGGCAATTATACTGGATCTGGCAAGAAGAGCATCCCCTACCCCACTTACCAACCTCTTTTTTCCTTTTTTCCTTTCCTCATTTTTTTTTTGTTTTTATCCACTTGCCGTTTTTTATCTTTTTTCACTTCTTTATTTCATTCAACTCTGCCATTTCCCTGGAGACTTCGATCTCTGATTCTGACTTGAAGAAGGGTCGCGGGGAATTACTGACGGCGAACGAATGAGAAGGTGGGAGAGTTGCAAAAGGGGATTCAATTTACAAACCCCCGTTACTCCGTCTTCTACTCGCTCCTCTCTGATTCCCAATTCAAATCTTCCGTACCCACTACCAGCCCTCACTCGTAATATTTCATCAAGAATATTCACGACTTTGGTTTAATTAAAACACGTTACTCAGCCCCGGGGATCACGTGTCTCATCAATAACCATAAAAGCATGGATTTTTCATTTTTCATTTTTATCACTTGGCAATTTTGAATGACGGGTGAGTGTTATTGCGGGTGGGTATGTATTACCCGTGTTCATATATCCTCACGACAGTCGATGCTGTGAGGGCGATGGAGTTGGGGAAGAAAAGGGTGGTGGTAGAATCGCTGGGAAAGGAGTGGTGAGAGAGTACCGTCAGCCCGTCGACATCTTAGCGGAACATAATAGCCATCTATCACCTTTCGGTGCATATCGTATAATATTCTGGTATGGGAGTGGGTGGAGGTTGAGAGTGAGAGGGAGAAGGAAAAATATCGGTGAATGTATGTGGGGAGAGCGTTGCCAGCCAAGGGTGGCATAAATCTGCTGAGGGCTCCCTAGGGTATTTCTCTCCTTTACCACCCCCACTTTACCACCCGGGGTACTTTTCCCCCGTCTTGCTTCCTCCACATTTATACGCCACCACAAGCCAGTGAAAAAGCAGACGCGAGATGAATCCACCGGTTCAATTCCCATTGGTTCATCTCCCGCCCCTCGAGGTGCGAGAACCGCATAAAGGAGCAAGGTGGCTCCTGTCTTGGAAGTGGCAAAGGGCAATTACCTATTCGAAGGATTGCCGTTCAAGTTTTTTTGTAAGGAGTTCAGGCTTTTAGGGCTGATAAGCCTATAACTCATAATCATTCTCTCCCGGTCATGGTTTAATGTACGCGACAAATCTGTGCAAATCTGTCTAAAAAAATTAGATTTTTAAAAAAGTCACTGTCTTCATTACCTATTTTTTTTTTTACTGTGAAAGGTTTATTAACATTCACGTGGCAAATATTGAATCGCTTTATGAATTTTCGTATTTCCCGAGAATATTTTGAGAGATTCATTGCCAGTGTCATTCGGAGAATATTCAGCGTTCATTTGACGAAGTGAGAGAGGATTTTACGCGCAACGGGCAAAATGAACATATTCGATATCCGAAGGATTTATGCGAAGGTATTCCCGTGATATTTACGTGTTGGCCCTCTCAGCCCGTCGCGGAGCGTTATTTCATCGGGAATTCTTACGAGCACACGGCTCCCCCAAGGCTTGGTGTTTATAACCATCTCGCTTCGAAATACAAAGATGGGTGAGGGTGAGCCGCGCGAGACCCCAGAGGGATATCCCAGTGTCGTCCCTGGGAAAATAATATTTTTTCTCGCTCGAACTCGAGGAGGATCAGTGCAATAAATTATATTTCGGTGTATTGAAAAATAAGTGGAAATCCAACCGTCGACTATGCGAAAGGAACGTGGAGTGTCTTTATATTAGCCATTTAAATGCCGAGAAAAATTCTGAAATGAAAAATTCTAAAAATGCGAGATAGATGAATTAGTCAGTAAGTGCCTTGTTTTCGCATTAGTTAATTAAAAATTTATAACTATTAAATTTTATTACCGGAACTCAATGTATTGGGCATGTCCTTTCATCATCAAATGAAAAAGCAAATTTGAGGAATATACTAAATATATTATTATAAGTTTTATTTATTGAAAAAATTTTTTTGCACGTGCCCCCAGACAATAATATATCGGCGAGTGGGTTTCCCAAATGATAGTTCGATAAGTATCCTATTCCTCAGCAGTTTGATCTTATAGATATTCAAAAAGTAATTTGAATAATCCATCGTGTGCCTCAAGTGATGTAAACATATTTTACCCCAGACAGAGCATTAAAATGCCGGCAATTTCATACGAAACGGAGTGGCTATGAAAGATGAAATATCTTGGCATTCGGTGACGCGTCATTTCCGATTGCCATTTCTCAAGGGAAACGGACGGTTCTTCAGTTAAAATGTCGTTCACTGGTCCCACACCTCTCCAAGTTTATGCCTCTCCGTCCATTATTATAGTAAACGAGTGTCGCGCGTGTCATCCGGTCTCGTCGAGAGCACTCGGTAATTCCGCTTGTGTCCTCCATTGGCTTCAAGGAAGGTTAACAAGAGAGGGAGAACGAAGAGAAATGGGGAGACGAGATAGGAACTTGGGAATTAGATTTCACCGTGTAGCTTGACGTGAGCAAAGTCTCGGCCTTCCCCCCCCTAGTTCATCCAACTCTGGGCTCTTATTCCCTCTGCCTTGATCATCCTCCAAAACTTGCGTGCCTCTTAGTCAAAATCAGATTGCACGCTTGAACGAGTGAGAAAAACTTTTTTGCTGAAAAATTTATTCGCAAATCAGCTAGCTCATTGTACTTTGGTACACCGTCGAGCAAAAGAAGTGGAAAAATCCCCCACTGCACAAACAAGTTTGTACTAAATTTTGATTTTTATGTCTGACGATTTTATCTCGAATGCTGGCTATTCACAGAGATAGGTATCACTAGGTCGTTGAAAGGTAAAACCCACCACTGCGATCCCCTTTTCCAGAGATTTGTCAACACTCTGGTATTAGGAGCTATCAAACTCGAGACTTGGATTTCATCTCAGAAACTTATACTCGACGGTTTCTCTTACGCTGTGACAAAGTACATAAAGGGCTTGAAAGATTTCAAAACGATTTTTCTGCTATCAAAACCCGTGAGACCGGACTTGTCCTGAGATAGGATGGATGAGGGTGAGAATAGATGTGGGGGGGTAAATCGGTGGCGAGGAAGATGTCTAATTTCGTAAGTGCACTAGTGGCTAAGACAAACGCGGTTAAATTAAGTTAACGGGAGGCGGAGTCTACTTTTATCCAAACTCAAAGAAAATCATTATTTACAAACAGAAACTATTTTTTTTATTGAATATTAAAATACAAAAAAATCATCCATTTTTTTCAATAGTGCAGTCGTTATTTTTAGAACACCGGTATTGGATTTCATTTAATTTCAAATTTAAATGAATTAAATGTTAGAAAATGGAGTTTCAAATATGGGATTTCTGAGAAATTTCAAGAGTAATTTGTAATAAGGAAGCGTCATGGATAAAAACAATGAAACAATCTACCACCGGTAATATTTCAAGCGTGGATTTTGTACTTCCAGAAGACAGTCGACAGTGCTAAAAAGGGACCTATAAAAGAGTTATATCAGCGTGCAGTACTGCGGAAAAAGGATGAGACGGTTGGAAAGGTTTTGCGGGTGGGCCTTCACCAGTGAAAGCATCGCGAGAGCAACAGTCACTGGGGTATTACCCGGTAACACCGTGGGTGTTGCAGAAAATTGACTCTAGCCCCATCGTCCTACGATTTTATCACAAGCTAACAGGTAGAAATGTCATTCCAGTGGCACTCACACCAATATCCCCCGACCCTAGTGGAATACGAGTCAATGGCGCAGACACATGACTGAGCTAGTAGATGGTGGATAGTGACGACGAACCTATCGGGGTGGTTGGATGCACGATGTCTCGGTTTTTGTTTCGAAAATAGTGGGTGAATGGCATCTACGACGACAATGCTCCCCTGGGACATGGTATACCCTCCTCACCTCAACCTCATCTCTTCCTCTTTTATTCCACCGCACACAGATGGAATGGCTCAGTAAAAATGGCCATTGTGCAATTCACACGGGCATTCACAGGGTGGGGGCTGATCATTTCTTTTTTTCCTCCTGCTCTGGTCCCTTTTTTTAAGAGGAAAAAATGACGGGGAAAAGTGCCTTTGAGCTGCGTGGAGATTTATCGAGTATCATTTTGAGAAAATGCCAGCTCTACTCCACGCTTTTATCATCGTTGAAACTCCAATTTTGCCATTTTCAGTTGAAGCTATTGTCATTATAATTGAGAGCACTTGTAGCTTTAATTGATTAGCGAATGTATTATCCTCACAGTGGCAGTTAATTTGATTTCACCGGGAATGACATTTCGAAAGTAGAAACACTGGGTCGTGATTTTATTTATTTTTAGGACTGCATGTGATATACTTCAATCAAATTACTATGATTGCTAGATTTTCAGAGATCGAAATTGTTCGTTACCAAAAAACTTTTCAATCTAAATTTCATCACCCGCAATTCAGTTGTGGAGGACATTTTGCATAGTTAACGCGACATTTAATGAACAAATTGAACTGTATATTTTTATATTCATCCGAAGGCAGATTAAGCGTTTACTAATAACAACGCTCCGATGTAATTCCGGTTTTAAAAAAGCCTAGGTGTAAGCTTATGGAAATATGTGTTGAATAATATGACTATTTATACAAAAATATTTTTGAAAAGTATTAATTAACATGTTTTTTATTTCAGAAAAATTTATTCATTGTTGTACATACTGTATCGAAGGAATAAAAATATTATTTCATAGCGACGAGATCGGATTATATCTATAAATAATAATAAATGAATGTATAGACTACATTGTTACAGATTTTATTTACCGGATCCATTTTATTTATGGGATAATCGATTTATTATGGATAAATTTGATGGAAAATGAGAGCTCGTGATTAATAGTCATATATGGAAAAGAGGTAGATCGCTACTCGATGATTTTAAAGCCATTGTAGTATGATGTTTACATGTGATTACTCACTGAGTCGGGACAGCTTAAAAGCATCTGCGGTGTTGATAACATCAACCCATGCCTGGAGATCAAATTTCCTCGACACGTTGTTCTGATTGTGGACTGCAATGGCGTATCTGAATGCCGACTGCACTTCTTCCGTCCCTTGCTCGAACATCGCCCCTGGAACACAAACATCAACATTCATATAGATTGAATAGTATTGACTATCGATTGATACGTTTCATCGCAGAGTGAAATGATGGCCGTTGGTGATTCGAAGCTGAAGGGATCATCTAAGTGGCATTGGTACTCCTCCCTTTGGCATTAATGGTGAGCAGTGAGGGTAAAGCTATTACCCGTGCAGAGTCGATCGAACATCATGAGATAATCTCAACGTATCGAGAGATATGTTACGTTTTGATTTGCGTGTTGCGCGATCAAAGACGACCGGCATGGATTCAATCGTGGATCTGGCAAGGTAATTAATTCAGTGGTAAAGGTCGGATGGCATGTTAATTAGTCAAATCGTGGATGAAGTTTAATTGAATATTCTTCTCTGATTATGGAAAATCCTGCAGAGTGATTTTACCGATTGGTTTATCAAATATTTATCAAATTTTGAGGATATTTCCGCATAAATAATAAATAAATCATCAATATTTTCAACAAGCCATTCACTATCTCCTAGATAAAAAAAAAATTGGGTCTTTTGAAAAATACTTTGAAATTTCGATTGAAAATCTGATTTTATAAATTCTTTATGAAATCTTTAATCAAAAATCTTTAATCATAAATGTTATAGATATCCTTTATGCATTCTTTCTACATTTATAGGCAATCAAATAGTTAATTGTTCGGCCAATTGTCAAATCCTTTATGAATAATTCTCGATTAAACAAAGTAATTCGACAAATGGATCGAACCTTGAATATCGGATTCTATAATCAGAATATCAACGATCCGCAATCAAATGGTTCAAGCGCGAAGAACAAAGATTGTCTTTGTGTCTGAGTTCTTTGGAGCCTGAAAGCCATCGGGCCCTACTGCCCCCTACCACCCGCGTTATTTCCGTTCCACATGATGATCGTGAAATATTGAATAACCGAGTCGAAAGCACTCCCTTTGAACCTTCAAACGCGAGGGAATATCGGGTAGATACGACGAGAGGTAGATCGAGGAGAGAGAAATAGAAGTGTACCGTCGTACCAGACGGGCCATCTCGTACACCATCTCTTGTCGGGCTACTCGCCGCTTCATTAGAGAATATCAGCTTACATTGTCATTCCTCCCTCTTGTCTCCGCCCTTTTCCCACCCTATCACTACTCCCACTGACTATATCCCAGGAATTCCATTTTCAAGTCCAATGGGAAATTGTACTTCAGTAAAATCGATGAATGCTTTATAATTCCATTTCAAACAAACGGCGGATTATAATTGGACAGAGTTTTTGTTTAGCATTGGAATGGTTCAATAAAATTCCTCGGAATTCACGGACTAATGAAAAGGAAGCGAATCACGGATTTACGAGAATTTTTATGGCTACGAATCAAATCAAATATATCGATTTGACACGAATGATGATGAACGAGACGAAGAAGTATCTAAATCCCCAGAATTGGAACTGCTCTGCCTCTGATATTTTCAGAGGTATATTTCAATATTTTTGGAAATGATTTTAAGAATTTAAAAGAGAAATTACTTGAGTCAAGTTTTTTTTTCTCGTGAATAATAATCGACGTGGGAATAGAAAACATGTGAGCAACTGAAAAGTCAATTATTTAAAAAGCAGATAATCATTATTTTGAGAAAATATTATAATTAGATTTTTTTTCATGCTTATAAATTGTTTTATTCAAATGTGCAATTACTCAGCAATCGTTGAAATTTCTCGTATTGACTGGCGGTGAGAATCCACGTTATCCAAACTTATAATCTGCCTTGTAGATTCCGAGTGAAACGCAATTACACGGCAATCGAAAGCTCGATTGTAAGGTGCACCTCTGGATTTGATCCAACCGTTACTCACTAGCATTAGTTCCACCATGTGTGTCCACTCTCACTATACTTCGTTATATTCGGTTTCGATTTCCATGGGTAGGACTTTTACGGTGTAACCGAACGTAGTCACTGTCACACAAACTATCCCGAATTCGTTTCTCTCGAAATCGAGTCGGCCCTCTATTCGTTTATTCCAACGACGAGGCTTTTACCACCGACCTCATTCACAACTTTTTTGTTGGCACCAGTTTAATTCCCTTTTTCGTATTCAATGGATCCATATTTAGAGATCGGAAAAGCCATCAAGAAGTATTTCTCTCTAACTCTGGGGATGCAAAAATCGCTGCCTCGGAAAATTTCAGTTAAAAAGCTAATGCGTTTTCAATTTTGCCAGTTTTCAGGGTAAAGTACACACTCCGAGTGCTTCAATTAACGAAAATCAACTTTTAGATTAATTGAACTCACGATTCAAGGTCGTTGTATTTGATACCATAAAACCTCATTTTTCAGTTTTTTTTTTCATGGATGGTACACATATATAGTCAGCGAGAATAAACATCCAGCGAGCACTTCCATTAGTGAGGAAGATGTGAGAGATATAATTCATCCTCTGTGGAATATATTTTTCATCCACCCCTTTCGAAAATCATGGGAATTTCTATTGGTCGGCGCTGCCCATCACCAATTTTCTCGTTTCCACACACCGCATTGCAAATGCGCCATTTACAAAAGCTAACCCAAACGTTGATCCAGCACTTCAATCAGTGAATTAAAAAAAATATGTATGCCAAAGTGGTAAAAAAAATTCCCCAACTTTTTACCGGCTTGTTTAAATATTTTCCAACATTTCATTTGGCCCTGAAATGTAACATTTCGTCGATTGATGGTCCATCATCGATAATTCCTTCGGATTTGGGCTTTCCAATACTCAGTGACGCACTCACCCTCGATTCCCCCTATTTTTTTTTTACCGATTTTGAAAAAAACCGTTGCCGAACTTTTATTCTTCCCATTCTCTCGGTACTTCTCCCATGTACTCATCCATCGATCTTTACTGCTCGTGAAATGGAGGATCGAGTGGTTGGAAAATTCAACGTGAAAGAACCAAGTCGAATCGGAATAGCGAAGAGGGGTGGAAAAAAAAAAAAAAAACAACACGGCTGAACAAAAATTGTGGAAAGCGAGGGAAGAGTGCAAGGGGTGCAGAGCGAATGAGCTGGAAACCTTGGTATTTTCAGTGGCCAACGATTGTGCATCGCGGGGTAAAATTTTTTCCCGAGTGGACGTGCATTCAGGGGATTCTCCACTGCCGACTGATCGGTAATTGCTGTTCCCCCGTGGCCATTCAAACATACTTACATTGGTACTTGGATGGAAAAAAAAAGATCATGACAAATGTGATGAGACGATGGGCATTGGAAAATTAGAGGGTGGTTTTTGTCGGTGGAAAACAAAGGGAAATATTGTGTACACTCGATCGGACTGATGCCAGAGTGTAGAGGATCGGCACAAAGAGTTACCTTGTGCGCCTGCTGTGGCAAAGAACATGAAAACAAAGTGAAACAGAGTGAAACAAAGTTGGCTGAGAGCTCGTTTGGACAACTAGACGCATCTGCCTTTTTTTTTATTCGCCGTTTCCACCATTTTTTCTCTTCAGCAACTCGATTTTTTTTCGTTGGAGTGCACCTTGTCTCTGGTTAGGCAAATATACAAACAACTTCTGATCAAAAGGGGTAATCGTGTATAATCAGGTACGAGGGGGTTTAATGTGTGGGGTGACGAAGGGCTCTGAAAAAGTATTAAATGTGGGGGCTCTTTGAGGGTGACTGTACTTTCGCTCTGGAAGGTAGAGAGCTTTTACATCTTTATCAACGCGTTTACATCGACTAATTAATGCTCACACTTGGCACAAATTATTCAACAATCAGTGCTCTTCGATTGCATCTGAAATTCGAGATAAATCTGCATGTCAATTTTTACAATTTCTCATAATTCTTTAAAATCGCATACGTCATATTCTTCCACATTATTTATCCTTGAAAAAGCGATAAATATTGTGAATGGTGCTCCCCAAGTTAATAGAAACGTCTTCTGTCTTCTAGAGAAAAGAAAAATAATGCAATATAAACCGCGAGTAAATCTTCGCACATCCTAATACCATAAAACATGAAGAATGGGTCTATTTAAATTTTTGTGAGGTGATAGAGACCTTAAGGATGATCTAGAGTCCATAAAAAAGGCGCGAGGAGACGGGGTGGTGGGGAGGCGGGGAGGTGGGGAGGCGGGGAGGGACTGGGGAGGAGGAAATGCCTATGATAATTTTTCGGGCAATACTTCCGGTGAGAGGAGGAGGGTAGACATTCCAGGGTGGACATTGCGTCTGGGCAGAGGATTCAACTCTTGGTTTTACATTGAATCAGGAATGAGGGATGCTGGGGGGCACCAATCAATAGACGCGCGACGGCGCTCCACCTGTCAATGTTCGCAAGATAAACATTGAATGTGGGATAGGTTTTACGGGGTGATTTTAACAGCTCATTAGGTCAGGCCATAATCCAAACACGATGAGGGGAGACAAACATCAAAGACAGCAGCTGCCCGATGCCAGATATTGCGATTATGAAATATTCCAGATTTTTTTGGTATTGAAAAGTTTCCATTTAATTTCGCCAGTAAATGCTGTTAATTAAGTCTTGATGGAATTCTTATATACTTATTGATATAATGAATTGAAATACGAAATTATTTGCACTGAAAGAAGTATTGAATAAAAATAATGTATTTTTTCTATCATTCAGGCGGAAAATGGTGCAAGAAATTTTACGCAAATGTTATGATGATTATGATTTTTCTCTCTGTATAGACTGAGCTGTTTCTTCTTGACGGAATGAAATAATCAAAATAACATCATGGCATTTGTGTTTTTAAAATGATTTTTCAGCCAAACTGTGTCAACCAATTAGGGAGACTAAAAGAGAGTAAAAAAGTGGACGACACTAGCTGGGTGGTTCAAGGTTTGCGCTTCTCTTTTTCGCTCTTTTTTGAATTTCGTGGTGATGAAAAAAATGGATGAAAACCAAATATTACAGAAAGGGGTTTGTCGATGAAAAGTGATGAGTTTCGGGTTAGGTGGAAGTTAACTGCATTCTTGATGGATAAAGCCATCAATCTCTGTTGATGG